GCCCAACCGTAGCTGCTACCTTGACGTGGTGGTGGTCGGGCTTGCGTATCGTGGGATGACCCAACCGAACTATATTGGCTTGAATATATGTTCCTGAAGGTTCTACCATGCCAGCCAGGCAGGTCGATTGGAGAACGATGAGACTAAAAGCAGCTACTCAAGGTATGGGGGCGAAGTCGTACTGCTGACTGCAGAGGAGTGTGGCAGCAGTCAGGCGTTTTCTTCGGGCAAACAGCATCTGCAGCAAAGCTGACTTCTCACAAGGAAGGAAGGGTTAGAAAAGTTCGACTACAAAAATGTTACACCTCACCCTACCTCACGAATTTCCGTCTCCTTGGGTAAGGGCCTTTAAGAGCGGAGATAATACTCAAAAAACCTTTCATAAAAAAGCCGCGCGTGACCGGGCTCTGCGGTCATGATAATATTTGTATTTCATTATAGTTTCGATTTCTTCGGCCTTCCATGAGTTTCAGTGTTTCTTTCTGAACTGCACTGAATTGTTGTTTAAGCTGATACTTAGTCATGGTGACAGCTATATTGATTTGTTCCTCTTTTGATTGGGTTGCTTGATTTGACTGGAATTGTGCATTTTGATTGCGAAATAGAAACACTCTATGTTACAAAGCAACCAAATATTATCTTTCAGAGGAATCTGATCTATCCAGGAGGGATAGAATATCATTTATCTTCTGTGGAATAAATAACTAAGTGGTGAGATTGCTTAGGTAATGATGTATATTTATATTTATGATGAATATTAGAACCGTCATTTACCCAAATCACTTGTTTTGATTTCAACTGGTCAAGACGCGTACCTAAACTACTTGGACAGTTATTCCTCAGTCCAAACCTCAGTTTGGATCCTACAATCTGGAAGCACTGGAAGATGGACGTTTCTTCATAGTATGAGACTTATCAGTAGTGCAGATGCACGACTCTCGTTACCCACAGGAATCGGACGCAGGGGCTTTAGTCTTGCGCGTGAATGCCTAACCTCTGGAGCCATGCATGCGCAATCCTTTGTTCTTCCCCCTATCCAGTATTTCCACATTGTTCCAATCGAATGTATGTCCATAATTGTCGGTATGTATTGATATATAAGTGAAGCGTTGTCGTGGCGTTTCACTGTTAATTGGTGTTCACGTAAACGAAGCTGAAGATGCTGTCCACTTTGTCCTATGTAGTGTTTTTCACAATCTGAACTTTCAACAAAGAAGTCACCACTTCGAAGCACACACAGTGTAAACCTACTTCGATCTGAAGCGATACAGGATACTTAACTATCACTTAGTCTACACACACACACTTCAAACGTGTAAAATCGATTTTATTTCCAATATTAAAATATAATATAACAAATTTTTTTCTTAACTTACTCGACCATATCGAATCATAGTAAGTTGGCATAAACTATGAAAACGTTGTGTAGCAATCGCTAATTGAGTAGCTAATTCAGCAAAACTTGGATGTAAATGATCTTTTAAATCACGTGAAGCATTACCTTCAGTGACTTTCAGTCCAGATCCAGCTTGATTAGCATATTTACCTTGTTTTCGTCGTTTAAACAACCATTTCATTTTGAAATCAGTAATTAAATGTCGTGTGAATACACTTAAGTGAGAGATTGTTTTTTCAAACCCGACAATTGTATGAGTGATACCTTCACCAGCTATCCGAATACGTAAAATATCATTGGATTCCTTTATTGAATAAGAAATTATAAATAACAACAATAGAAAAGTTTTATTTGATTTATGCGCCATAAAATTTAATGTATGTATATCAATTAAAACAATGAACAGTGAAATTATCGATCCGAAGTTCAATAGTTAGTTCTTTTAGTTAACAATACTGTGGTGTGTGCTACTTATACGAACGTTATAAGTAGTAGTATAAGAATGGACGTGAAAGAAGAAGAAGTCTCACGGTCACAAGAGGAAAACGGAAGGCAAATAGAGCAAAAGCAAGAAGTAAATGGAGGACCAACAGGAATGGAAGAAGGATGGAGCGTTGGAAGTCACGACTCAAAGATGGTGTGCAAATAGAGTGTTCAATGTAATGTCGTTTTTAATTGACTAAGAGTGTAAATTTGCATCATACAATCTTCCTCACCTGCCTCAGTCTTCTCAATACCAGTACATCATGGAAATAAGTTTTTAAACACTTTTCATTATATTCAATATAAATAATTAATTTTACAATCTAGTGAGATTTCTTTAGGAACGCATGTTACCACGTCAATTGATATGCTTGAAAGTATCACGAGTTCATCATAGTCGACAAACGGGAGCAAGGATCGACGATCCGGCGACACGACAGGCTACTCAAAACCGAGCGTCCCAAGCCCCACTGAGTAGAGAAAGAGAGGACTTGATATGAAGTAGAATGTGTATTCTATAAGCACCCCAGTAGGTACGAGATCCGAGTCCAGAAGAGGATAAGGATCCGGATCATAAAACGTTACAGATGATGCATATTTATACACAGTCAGGTAGAATAGAAAACAACATTTGAAGTATGTGACATTGACAGTTACGACAACCAATAGGAATTGACCAATAGAATTAAACTTACAAAATAATTCTCTCTTAGGATATCTGATGAATATCTTAACAGATTTATTTCGAATAGTTATTATATATAATACAATACAGCGGACTATTCAAAAGTTGTTCAAACGAGGTGATATTGTGACAATGAGATATTTGCTAATTAATAAGTAGTGTATGTTATATTGACCGAGAAATCATTTGATTTTCTATAAGGGTAGACAGATAGATCGATGATTTACTAATGTGATTCAATTTAACCTAATCAACTTTCTCTATTCTCTTACACAATAAGCCGAAGAGGGTTGGGGTTTCAGTAAAGGAAGTCTTGTATCAGTATCAGACGCGAATACAGAGGGATGGCAAATCAGCTGATAAAGTATTCAAACTTTCATGTGTTATGTATGACCTGTAGTGTGCCGATAACTGCGTGTCCTTAATGGTCGCTTTATAAATCAAAAGATGAACTCGTATTGATGAATACGTTTATTCGAGGCACACCACAAAACGAAGCGGAGAAGCGAATTGGAGAAGGCTAAGAGCCAACTGTTTGGATTACAATGCGAGCGAACGGGCGAAGCGAATAGGAGAAGGCTAAGAGCCAACTCTTTGGATTACAATGCAAGCGAATGAGCGAAGCGAATTGGAGAAGGCTAAGAGCCAACTCCAAAGAGATAGAGTATGACTAAGAATATATAGTCAGACAATAATAAGACAGACATATGACAAGCGAAATAGGCATGCACACACATGAATAAAAGCGACGAATGATTGACAAGGTCAAAAGCAAGCGATACAAATTATGTGAGTTCATGGGGATATTAGGAGATTAACATTAAAGCGAAAAGGATGAGTAAGCGCGTAGGCGTAAGCAATGCTCAGTCGTACAAGCTCATACAAAGCAGATAATAAAAAATACCAACCGTACATATGAGTTGTTGCTATGCAAATAGCTTGGTTACATAAATTAATCAAAAGGCTTAAGCAAATTAAATGTAAGCGGATGCAAATAAATGTGGAGGCACTACAGACCAACCACCGACTGGCTACCTCGACGAGCTATGTTTTGTGGTGCAGGATTAGGTTGGAAGAAAGCTAGAGGCCGCTAAATACAGACATGACACAAATCCATGAAGTGACTGACAAGTGGACTGAGTCATGTTGGTAAGTGTAGACTACCTGGTTAGGGTTGATAAGATAGTAGTGAGAGATTGTGAAAGACCTTAAACGACATGTCTCAAAATTGTTTGCAATGGCCCAGGTACATTCATTCATTGTGTTCCCTTAAATTCTAACCTCCTGAATTCCTGATTATCTCTATCTTTCCGTTTGTACAGTTATCTCACTGAATTATACTTCTTGAATAACATCTTCGAACCCTAATCTTCTAAATTACTGCTAATACTTATACTACCTCTGTCATTATAGGATTTGAAATTGCGTCTCTCTGCTAATGCGGTATGGCAGTCTAAACCAATGTACTCATGTACGAAGTGCTGCGTTGTCAATGACTAACTGAGAACACAGAGTGCCATAAAACAATCAATGCAACAGAAGTCTGATAAAAACAGTTGATTATTCATAACAGAAATTAGTTGGTTTAGATATAGGCATAGTCATTGCGTACCCGTTCAGTCTAAACTGTGCAAAAACACCGATCTCCATAACTTTAATTGAAAATATCGTAAAATATGCTCACTAGTGACTACTAGCTTCGTGAGGAAATTCTCGGAGTTCTTCTAGTGAGAAGACGTGGCCAGTGGAGTTCAACCATGTTGGGTGTAGGCAGTAACTACCAAAGAAAATATGGGTGAGGTCGCGCAAAATCCCTAGATCAATCAGAGTTAGACATTAACACCGTTGCATGCCGGCCCAGTGGTCCAAAGGTTAAGCGTTCGCGCACAATACCGAAGGTCCCGGGTTCGGATCCTGCGAGGTGCAGGAGTCGTGAATGCGCACTGTTGATGAGTCCCATACCAGGACAAAACGGCCGTCCAGTGCTTCCTGGCAATCTAATGGTGGTCTAACAATGATTGACTGATGATTTCAAATGTGTAAAAACACTGATCTCCATAACTCTAATTGAAAATATATTAAACAGCTGTCTAAGTTCCATAACTCTAATTGAAAATGTCGAGATGACAAAAAATGCACGATGGAACTGTACATGAAAACCCTAGTGGAGAATGGTCAGCTACCAAGCTATCATAGCTGCATACTCTATTAGTTGGAATAAAAACTAAATTATATACTTCGATACATAGATACCAATAATTTGTAGTCCCAACGTCGCTGGTCACAAACTGAACCTCAGTAAGAAGATACTTATTGAGAATGAGTATCGATTGGTATTTATTGACAAGAATATAGAAACTCTAACCTCTTACAGCAAAAACTATCTATATGAACATTGATTTCAAAAGTGATATAGCAATAGACATTCAAAAAAAGATAATTTTTGACTTTCTTAACGAAAATATTCTTTGCAATAACGTTGCGCTCACCATCAATTTACTTGCTCACGTGGAGTTAGGGATGCATAAGAATGCAATGACATGATCTGATGTGCTTGAATAGAGAAGGAAATAGCTCTATAATCAAACAACTTGTGAACACAGGTCATTTAATGAAGTCATCTGCAACGTAAGTGTTAGGATATTTATCCAATATCCTTAGAGAATTATTGGTCAGTTCCTATTGGTTAATTCCTATTGGTCAATTTTATGGTCGTCCTAGATATCAATGTCACGTGCTCCAATGTTATTTCTTATTGGTCGTGCTGACTATTAATGTCACTCCAAATGTTGCTTCCTATTGGTCGTCTTAACTGTCAATGTCACAGACTTCGATGGTGTTTCCTATTCGACCAAAATGTATAAATACGCATTATCTGTAACGTTTTATGACCCGGATCCCAAGTGCATGATCTTGATTCTCTTCTGAACTCAGACCTCGTACTTTCTGGATGCTTGTAGAATACAGGTTCTACTTCATATCAAGTCTTCTTCTTTTACTCAATATGAGGGTTGAGACACTCAGATTAGAGTAGCATGTCGTGTCGCTGGATCCTCGATCCTCACTCTCGTTTCCCAACTAAGGTAAGCTCGTAATAGTTCAAGTGTTATCAAATGACATGTTTACGTTCATGCGTAACATTAAGTATCAACCTACAAAAAGCAATCAACTTTCAGTGTTACCATTACTGAAACATTTGCTATGTATTTGGAAAAACTAAATTTATGTACACTCAAATAAGCTAGTACTGTGGTAGGGAATAAACCAGATTCCAGTGGAGGGAGATATCATGAAAAAGCGCTGGAAGTGGATAGGACACACATACAATGAGGAAAGCATCTAACTGAGTCACAAGGCAAGCCCTTACTTCTAATTCTCAAGACGGAAAGAAAAGAGGAAGACCGATGAACACATTACGCCGAGCAATGGAGACAGACATCAAAAGAATGGATAGCCATTGTGAATAGAACTAGAAAGGAAGGCGTAAGACAGAGTAGGCTGAAGAATGCTGGTCGGCGACCTATGCTCGATTGGTGGTAACAGGAGTAAATAAGTAAGTAGGTTTGTAAAAGAAGCTTGTACATTCTCTTCTTCTATTATGGTCTTAGACCCCGATGACTTTGTTTTTCTGTCTCTATCTCCAACAGCCGTCTATCTATTTTTAAACTAAGCTTCACAAATATCACAGTACCTGAGCAACACTACCAGAACACTAAATATAATCATTTTTAGGAAGCATTTTTAATGAAAAACTTGGATAACCTACAGCCATCAAATAAAATGTTAGAAAATATCAAATTTGCATTACGGGGTTGTGAAGGTTGTTAAGTTACTCATTTTTGAAACCATGAACGGATTAATGTTAGACCACCATTAGGAACCTGAGAGCACTGAACGGCCGTTTCGTCCTGATGTGGGACTCACCAGTGGCAGTGAGCATCCACGACTCCTACACCCCGCAGGATTCGAACCCTGGACCTTCAGTATTGTGCGCGAACGCCTAACCATCGGACCACTGAGCCGGTATCTAACGGTGTTAATGTCTAACTTGATCAAATTCACAGAGTTGCGCAATCTCATACACAGTCTTCGGTAGACACTGACTACACCCGAATAGATTGAACTTAACTGGTCACGTCTTCCCACTAGAACTCGGAGAAGATTCCTCACGAAGCTAGTCACTAGTGAGTAAAGGTAATTTGCATTACGGGCCTGTGAATATTGTTAAGTTACACATTTTTGAAGAGTCCCATACCAGGACGAAACGGCCATCCAGTGCTTCCAGGTTTCTAATGGTGGTCTAACATTGATCGGTTAATGGTTTCAAAAATGTGTAAATATCAAATTAGCAAACACATACCATACTGATAAGATGATTTCTAGAATCACGTAGAAATCGTTCAAATGGAACATTTCTAAGTAGACCAAAACGTCCAGCCAATTGAATACATGTATCAATACCTGACCATAATTTTTCTGAACTAAAAATCTAAAAGAATAAAAAACAAGCATTTTAGGAGATAAATACACACACACACGTATAAAAAGACACAAACGATAGAAAAAATGTTAAGACAAGACAAAATGTCTTCTACTCACTACAAAGGAGTACAGCTGTGTATATACAGACAAGACATACGAAACTACTAAACGAGATAATATTCAAGAGTCAAGGTCCTAGGGTTGGAAACGAGCAAGATGAATGGATGCGCACAGCCATTGATGAGTAGTGTAAGAAAGATTTGATTTTGATCAATTTGGTCTCGTGTGCTGTTTAGGGGTATGAAGGCGGTTGTCACTTACCGGCTGCCCACACCGTGGAAAGTTGTTTCTCCAGCAACCTGAAAAGGAAGGTCCATTAGTGTTGGTCTTAGAGACCTGTGTGCGTGATCGCAGAGACTAGGGAACAACTGCTTGAGGCCGGTTACGCACGGCCTTTTGATGAAAGGTTTTTTTAGTATTAACTCCGCTCTTGAAAGCCCTTAGTGGGCACCCTTACCGCCGAGGACGGAAATCTGTGAGGTAGGGTGAGGTGTGACATTTTTAGGGTCGACCTTCTCTAACCCTTCCTTCCTTGTGAGAAGGCAGCATCGCTGCAGATGCTGGTTGTCTGAGGGAAACACCTTACTACTGTCACAACCCTCTGCAGTCTTCAGCAGTACTACTTTGCCCTCAGACCTTGAGTAACTGCTAGTACCTAGTGACGAACAAAACACATCTGAAGATAACTCGAACGATAGTGCATATTATATACAACGTGTTCGACTGTGTATGGGACCCTTTCAAGACTGCATATATTGACGTATAACCGACAAGCCAGTCAGACAGTTAGTCGACAGGCAACAACGTAGAATTTCTTACATACGAACGTACAACAGTTCAAGTTGCCATACCACATTAGCACATAGAGATGCAATTGTCAATTCCAACCCCATTGTGGTAGTATAATCCAGTGAGATAAATTTAATAAGAGAAAAGTGATGAGGAATTCAAAAGATTAGAATTTCAGAGAACACAAATAGTGGATGCACTTGCGTCACTGAAAACGATTTTGAGTTATGTCATTCAAGGTCTCTAACCATTGGTTACTAGTGTCTCGTGGGCCCTAACCAAGAAGTCTACATCTACCGACATAGCACAGTTATGTTGTCAATGACTTCATGGATTTGTCATGTTTAGGTTTAGTCACCCTAAATTTTCTTCCAACCTGATCCTAAATGGCTGTTCGAGGCAGTCGGTGGTTAGGCATACGCAACACTTATCCCAACCACCTCAACTGATGAAGTTTCAATACTTCATCTACTGATCTGTTATCCTTACCTACACCATAAGTGACGCAGGTTGGCAAAAGCCAGACAGACAGACAGATACAACACAGAACTTCGTACATAAGTACATCAGTTCGGGTTGCCATACATACCACGTCAGCACAGAGACGTACCTGTCAGTTCAAATCCAAGAGTGATAGCGATAGTAGAATTATTAACAGCAATGGAGAAGATTAGGGAGCGAAGATGTTGGGGATGTTAGATCCCCAAAATTCGCTGGATAATGCCGTATTTTGGTTTTCACGTTTTGCCAGCATGGGTTGATCAGATGACCTTGAGATTTCATTTCCCACCAGCAAAATCCATGGCTGTGATTGGCTGCTGTGTATTTTAGTATGCTATTTTCTTAACTGTCTCAAGGACGTTCCTATGTTGTATAAATAAACGTGAGTTGTATGCTTGATTGTACTGTGATTGCTGGGTGTTTGTAGAATATACTTCTACGCTTACAGAGCCTTTTATTTCGACTTTGGGTATTCAAGGTAGCCTCCCTGGAAGCTGGTAAAAGTCTCGTTCGCGTTTATCGACTAAGGTAAACTCGTAATAGCCTCAAGCATACTAAGTGACGAACTTATCAGAAGATATGATCCGAAAAGCATAATTCATGAGATAACTTTAGAAAATAAAAAGATAGAGATGATGAGGAATTCTGAAGATTAGAATTTGAGAGAACACAAAGAGTGGATGCACCTGCGCCACTGAAAACTAACCATTGGTGACTTTCGTCTCGCGGAGCTCAACCATATAGCCTACATCTATCAACATGACTTAGTCGACTTGTCAGTGACTTCATTGATTTCTGCCATGTTTTGGTCTGGCCGCCCCTAGCTTTCGTTCAACCTATTCCTACACCACAAAACATAGCTCATCGAGGCAGTCGGTGGTTAGGCATTCGTAACACATATCCCAACCACCTCAACTGATGAAGTTTCAATGCTTCATTTATTGATTTTCCATTCTTACCTAGAACTCGTTTCCTAACGATAGCATTGCTTACACGTAACAGCACCGTTGGCAAAATCCAATCGAGCCTTTTGTATCCGTGCTGAGATTTTGTCAGTGATCAGGCCATCGGCACTGATGAAACTCCCGAGATAAGTGAAGCGTCAACACGCTCACTTACTGCACTCCATTACTGCAGCTGCCAATGCGACCCAATCCTACAGCAACATTTTGCTTCATATCACGGAGGGCGGGGAGAATCGCATCCCGAACATATTGAAAATATAAAGTACCAATATATATATCCTATGCAGTAACAAATAAAAATAACACATTTATCTTACTTTTAAAGCAGCTAATTCTAATGACAAATCACGTGTAGGTTGTGCGTCCAGTAAACCACTCACATAAAATAAACCTGATTCCATTGCATATAAATTTAAAACAATTTCTGAAAGTTTCTCTTCAACTCTAGCATAATCACCAATTGGTTTACCGAATTGATGACGTTGTAAACAATGTTCAGCAGTATACGATAAAAGATAACGTAATACACCGACACTAGCAGCTATAGTATTTAAACGATGTAACATTAGAACATGTTGAGCTGACTAAAAAAGGAAAATAAACTGAGTAGTTAGTTAATAAATAAATACAAGAAAAAGGACATTTTAAGAAATGAATAGATAGAGATTTATGATTGGTTAAAGAATAACCAATGAAATTCTTTGGATTTTAAGTATGAAATGATTGGAGGAAATTGGCAAGAAACTTTCATACTAGGGCTTGGGATTTGTGAGTAGGGTGTATTTGTAAACGTTCAGTGACGATCAGTTTCAAGATTAAGAAATGAATTGACATCCAACATAGGAAAATCCTGATACTGAGTACAACAAGGCCAGTTTAGAAACAATACATTCTGTAGCGATTAGTAGACAACATTAAAAATTACAAGTTGGATTTAATTGTGACCGATTAGGTCGCGTTAGCTTTTACAGGTATGAAGACGGATGTTACTTCGCGGCTGCCCATACCGTGGAAGGATGTTTCTTGAGAAACTTGAAAAAGAAGTTGGATTAGTGTTGGTCTTAAAGACTTAGGATCATAAGTGCAAAGCCCAAAGGACAACTGCTTGTGGTCGGTCACGCACCTCCTTTTAAAACAAAGATTTTGAAATGTTATTTAACGCTCTTCAAATGGCCTTACCGCCGAGTACGGAAATCCGTGAGGTGAGGTGTGACATGCTTAGGGTCGAACATTCCTAACCTCTTCGTTACTTGTGAGAAGGCAGAGGCGTCGCTGCAGATTCTGGTTGTCCGAGGGAAACACCTTACTGTTGTCCTATTCCTCTAACACTCAGCAGTACGATTTCGCACTCAGGCCCTGAGTTGCTGCTTCTAGTCTTATCGTTTTCTAATCGACTTGCCGGGCATTTGTCACGCATGAACGTAAACACGTCATTTTAATAGACTTGATCTATTACGAGTTTACCTTAGTCGGGAAACGAGAGCGAGGATCCGGCGACATGACGTGCTACCCTAATCCGAGTGTCTCAACCCCTCAATGAGTAACAGAAGACTTGATATGAAGTAGAACCTATATTCTACAAGCAGTCAGAAAGTACGAGGTCCGGGTCTGGTCCATAAAAAAAGTTACAGATAATGCGTATTTATACATTTAGGTGGAATATGAAACAGCATCAAAGTCTGTGACATTGACAGTTAAGGCGACCAATAGGAAACAACATTTGAAGCCCGTGACATTAATAGTCAGGACGACCAATGGGAATTAACATTGAAGTATGTGACATTGATATCTAGGACGACCATAAAATTGACCAATAGAATTGGACTTACAAAAACCATTTGGAATAGGTGCAGCCCACAAACCAACAGAATTACTTCAATCAATCCTACCCACAGGACAAAGTGAAAAAGGAAGAAAAAACCAAATATCATCTACAAAATAAACTGTATTAACTGCAAGAAATACCAGATCGGGCAAAGTGGACGTCCTCTTCAGCTTCGTTTGCGTGAACATCAAATAGCGGTCAAACGCCATGACACTTCTACGCTTATATCAATACATACGAACAACTATGGACATACATAAGATTGGAACAATGTTGAAATACTGGATAGAGGGAGCATAAAGAACACTCGAGAATTTTTAGAGGCTTGGCACTAAGATCAATCCACAGTCAACAAACACATCGACATTGATCCAATTTATCAATCGATCAGAAAAATCATAGACAAACATAGGATCAAGAAACAGATCAAAAGGGAGATATAATCAAAATAAAGATGCAAACAACGTCAGGTTTAAAGTCAATAACAACCAATCAAGATTCAGGTCAACAGGACAAGCTATGGGTCGAACGTGGAGAAATTCGATTACTTCACTTCTATTTGAAGTTTATGCTGATGATATTATTCAGAAGTAAACAATGAAAGCTTCACAACCATAAGATCCAGCGCACAGAATGAAGCACCACCTCAATCATCCACCTGAGCTACAAATTTTTCACACCATCTCAATATATATATATATATAAT